CGATCACGCTCGCCACGTACCGACTGCTAACACTAGTACGAAGCAGCCATAACTTCCTGTGTAGCATTTCATGCGCCCAGCATGGTGATAACCTGACACTTCTCCGACTGCTATTGCGACGACAAGCCTTAGTCAGCACTCGCACACCAACAAGTACTGCCCACTACCAGCTGATTCGAACGTAGACTTGAAGACAGAGGCCGGACGATTGCAAAGCACAGCTGAGAACGCCCCAGCCGAATATGCAATGACTCATCGAGTGGGATACCTCTCCGTGTGCAGGCCTACGGGAGACGATTGATCATGTCTGGCCACAATGTTTCCCGAGACGTCGGGATACAGCCAGCCTTGACACGACGTGGGTGAGACAGCGCAGACGGCCGGAGCAGCTATACGTACGCAGCGCTAGCAGAAAAGCACAAGACCAGCAGCGTGTCCCAATGCTCAAAGGCGGACCTAGATATCTGGAATGACCGTCAGCGCGATCGCGAGAGTACTGAACGTCGCCGTAGAAACCCCCACCAACACTCGTGGTGGCATATGCGAGCCAGTTCATAGAACAAAGTTTCATGCCGACTCGAGGGGCTGCGCGAGATCAGTGCAGGTGCGCAGATCTCATAATCTGTCTATGATAGATAGCATTAAGTAGCAACTCCTGCCAAGAACAGTCGTACACGCTCGAAAGCACAGCGTCGAAGGGTATCGGTTCTGTTACAGCGTACACCACGACCCCATCGCAAAACCTAATCGAACACGAACACGAACATGAGGCCACTTACTACGTAACCACGAAGCAGCATTGTACGTCCTCCGCTCCCGATATGAGGCCGTGTGGGACGCGGTCTGAAAGCGAGGCGTCCTGCTTTGGGCAGGACAGGCCACAGGAAGCTGGTAGCTTCTCCTGCAGCACGTTTCTATCCAGAAAGTGTAAGGAACGCGGACGCGTTCTCAGCCCATCGAGCCCCGCCTCGTCATCGCGACCGGGTGAGGATGGGACACGCGCGGGCTCTGGGACGTGCGCAACAAGCGGATGCCGTCGGCCGCGAGCGGGGCGTGGGGGAGGTACGACGCCGCGGGGCGGCGGAGGGGCGGCGGGAGGAACTTGCGCAGCTTCCTGCTGCGGTGCAGGCGCGCGGCGTAGACGTCGAGCTGGCGCCGGAAGCTCAGGTTGGGACAGACGATCTCGCGCTTGGACTGGAGGAACTCGATGGCCTCGTGCGGCTGCATGCGCGTCGTCGCGATAAGGTACGCGGCCAGGACGGTGGCCGATCGGGAGATGCCCATCGCGCAGTGCACCTGCGGAGGTATCGTCAGTATCGTCGCGGTTGCGAGGGATTAGACTTTGGCTGCGCGACACCTCGCTGTGAGGGTGCGGCGTGCACGGATGTCCCAACGCAAAGGGAAGATACGTACTAGGACAGTGTTGTGCTTGTCGTCAAGGGCGGATTTAATGAACGCATTGGTGACATCGAGGTGCTGGAGGAGGTCCGTGGTCTCAATGTCGTAGACGGGTATATGCAGCGTCTTGAGCTTCTTTAGTGTAGGCGGGTATTTTGGACGCTGCTCAATGACAGAAACGACGTGCGTGACGCCTATAGCCAAGAGCTGCTCCTCGTCCACAGCGGTGTAGAGCCCTGACAACCACAGACGAGGGAGGATCTCCGTGGGCGTGCGCGTAAGCATTCCGGCATGTCGTGGGTGAATTGCGTGGGGTTTCGCGACGGTGAGGGAGGCGTTTGCGAAGGGTGAGGTGAAGGACAACATGGGCGTATGAGCGAAAGATGGCGTCGGGCTGCAGGGGCGTCAACGCGTTGAGTTCTGGGTCATATATAAGCGCGGTGAGTAAATGAAGGCAGCAGGTGTCGAGCGGACCACGCTAATAGGAAAGCGAGGATCGGACCCTTGAGCCAGTATTCAGATATCTGTGCCCGTCATTCCACCTATAGCTGTGTCGAGGCTGTTAGATACCGAGGCCATGACGGAATGCAGACTGGCTCGTCGTCAGAAGCATGTGATGCTTTGAATCGATGCAATGATACTACAGCGACGCTGGCCATGGGGTCTGCAACATGATTTTGCATTACCATGACAGAGCGTAGACGTCGAGAGAACGGCGATGAGCACGACGTTGGGCGCAAGAGGAGCAGGCCAACCACATTGAAAACCAGCGTCCACCACCTGCGCCCCAGAGCGCCTTTCCTCTTTGGGCTCACTCGGGCGACGCCACTGCCCGCCCTGAAGTCCCCCTGGTCCGTGCGCTTTACCCGTCGTATAAGTCCCCCCGCCAGACACAGCAACAACTCATACTTACCTTGATGGCACGCGCCCCTTCACGTACCAGGGCTCGTGGGCCGTGGGGGCCTCCCATAGCACGGCGACCATGTCCTCAGGGGGACCTTGCGGTTTGTATGGGCTTCGGCTCATGCACCGTCTCAATATTTCCCTGTCCTGCTTCGGCCCTCGGGCTGGGCAGGCCATCCCTTTTTGTTCTTACGCGGTCCTAACCCTAACCCTATTGGCACCCTACATCCACCAATAGCTAATAATCAAACTGATTGTTGACTCTCCCCGGAAGATACCTTAGGTCGAAACATTACGTGCAGTAGCCTTCAGTTACATAGGAGTACAGCACGTTATGCTTACAGCTTCTGCGCCGCTTGAAAGTTTTCCATGATCCGGTCAAAGGCGTCGTAGGCTAATAGAGTTGCGCACGATCAACCGCTCGATGTGTGAAGCAAACTGGTGGCTATGTTACAATTGCAGTGCAACACCGACACATGAGAGGCAATATGATACAGTAGGAAACAGCTCAACGTGATAAATACCGACGTGGCGTAACCAGTCATGACCAGCATCGCAGACATAAAGAACCCGAAGCAGCAGAGCGCGAGACGACCAAAACCCGAAAGCGAACTAAAGAGACTCTACAGACGTGAAAGCATGACGACGACACAGGAACACGAGGGCGAGCTGGGCACAGCCTACACAGCGAAAGCCGAAGTGGGGTGGATCAGAAAGAGGCGAGCAGCGTCACCGCAAACGACGCGATGCACGCCAGGACGGCCACAGCGGCGCCGCCTACTGGGGCGGCACCGCTGCCCTTCGCGTTCACAACGGGCACGGTGATTTGTGGCGAGAGCACGGTCGCGGTCGCGATGAACACCTCCCACGCCGCGACGGTCGCAGCAGGGTAGAAGAACGTCCCAGTCGTAGTGATGGAGCCGACGGCGATGCCGGATTGTCCGGGAAGCGCGTCGACTGCAAGAGCGACATCTTCGCCGCCCTCGACGTCGATGTCACCGTCGGGACCCATCGTGACGAGCCCGGTCTTGTTGCTGCCGAGGATGAACTCGCGAAGGACCGTTGAGGCCTATCACAGGGTGGGTCAAATCCTCCGCGACGCGGACAGGAGTTCTGTAACTTACACGGGATGGGTTGAAGTAGGGGATCAGGTGGCCTGCGCCCTCGACTAGAACATATGTCCAGTTGCGCTCCTGGTGGACAACACCACCGACAAACCCGTTATCGTCGATCCAAGGGGTGGAGGGGCGGCGCGAGAACCCTTGGGTGCCGCCGAACGTCGTGTTCTACTCGAAGTTTAGCATTGTCGGATTAGCAAGGAAATGCTTAACGTACTTGAATGACAACTAGAGAGTAGACAAAGTCAGCGCGCTGTTCAATACCTTGATCAAGGGTCCAAATACCTTCAGTACCACGGTGAGCGACAAGGGAATCGTCGTTGCCGGAGTAAAGTACGACGCTGATGCCATGTTGAGACGCGTTGCTCGCCAGGTCCGACAAGAACGCCATGGGCCTGGCAACAGATTAGCTACTGGACACGTTGAGTGACCCCACGCAATGTCCTTACTCAACGCCTGCGAAGATCACTGTCAGCACCGTGCAACCTGAGACAAATATAGTAGAGCTATTGCTCACTCGGGTCGAAGCCATTGACGGGGTCGCCCAGGAAGGGGTAGGGAATAGAGCCCGCCCACTGCTTGCTAGTGGGCGCATGGAGCGCAGCGACCATTTGTGGATCTACGTCACACGATAGTTAGCATTACCTCAGAATCCCGGAACCTGCAAGCACGCACCGTTGTAGAACGAACTGCCGTCGATGGGCGACTCGGGGTTCAGCGCATCCTGGACCTGATAGACCTGCACGGCCCATCCGCAAGCCGTCAGCTCGCTGCCACTCTAACTCTGAGAAACCACAGCACGCACGTCAAACCCTTGCGTCTCGCCTACGAATAGAGTTAGCGCTTCTGTGCGGATAATCAGCGAATATAAGACGCTCACTCCACGGTGCCGAGAAGTTCAGCGCGTAGTCGATCAGCTCATCGTAGATGAAGCACCCGTACCACGAGTCGATCGTCCCGTTCGCGCGCAGGCTCAAATCACGCTTCACGAGCTCCCCGTCGCGCTTGCGGAGGGTGTCGGCCTCGACGGCGAGCCGGGTGAGGGTCTTCCTGAAGAACTGGCGTTTGTTGCTGAAGTTCTCTGTGATGAGCGGCGAGGCCGGGTCCGTCGGGTTAACAACTTGGAGGGTGGGGAAGTGGCCATTTTGCGGGTAGGTGAGGTTGAGGTCATAGCCGCACAAGTGCTGCCTGGATTTCATTATTTCCGCATTCAGCCTCGAGAAGCTGCGTTACCGATCGCGGGGCACTTACTGTTCGCGGAAGTAGTCGAAGACTTCAGGGTCGTAGCCGATGAGTTGGGGGTACGTCTCAATCGTCGTAAGCTGCACCGCACCGCACATCACTCAGCTCGGCAGCTGTCACGTCTCGCATTACTCAGACAGACGGCTGCTTACCGTAGGAACGTACTCAAACGTAAGAGTCGAGCCGACGGTGCCGTCACCGATAGCAAACTTCACGATGTTGACCGGAGGATTCTCCAAGCCGAAGTAGGTCTTCATGATGTACGGCTGCAATCGCGGAAGCCAAGTTCTCGTCAGCGAGACAGGCTCCGACATCATTCCACCTTTAGCGGGTATGCAAGGCTCACGATATAGGTCCCGGCGTAACTTTCTCCGGTGAGATAGAGGGGCCGCTGGGCGAGGCTCGGAAAGACTTTCACAAGGTTCTCGAGGAAGCCCATCTAGACCAGACGGTGATCGTGTGTTCAGTTAAGCCACCGATAGACACGGACACAGTCAGGAAGCGTACAAAGTCCCGGCCCATCTCATCCTCGTCGTGGACTACACGGGAGCGGATGAAGGTCAGTGCCGACGTGACGGCTCCAAGACGGAGCCCACGTACCATATCCCTCCGAGTCCGTCGTAGACCAGCCGACTCCACTGCGGGAAACATCAGCCATCGCTCGGTGTGAGATTTCCGAGAAAAGCGTGATGGCACTCACACAGGTTGGTCTATCCAGATGTAGTCCGACAGCTTGTCCCAGCTGAACGCGTTCTCGATCGGGAGTCCTTCCGGCGTAAGATGGATGGGACCATTCTGTGCGAGAAGTCGGTGTCAGGATCATCATCGGGGGTTCTCGCGAGTCAGGCTTACCTCGTACGCTTGCCCAAGCAAACTGGAGGAACCAGGTCTATAAATAACAGAGAAAATACGGAGCACATTAGGAACCCGGGCCTCTAGTGCGAGGAGCATGCGGAGAGGACGCTTCGGGAAGATGGTGGCTTACCCTCCATTCAGCCAGATGCCCCACGGCACATCGGTGCGCTCGTCGGCCCCGGCGGTGAGGGAGCCATTCTCGTGCTCGAACGCCCAGAAGAAGAGCGTATTGTTAGGGTGGTCCGGACGATTGACGGGAATGTTTCCGGCAAAGCTGCGGGGAAGAGCCCACGTTACATTTGGTAAGGGGCCCGTTACCTGGAAGTCTGCGGCCATAACATGAATGTAAGTGGGAGCAACATGAGTATGAGTATATTGTGAGCATACAGCTTTGCCATTCTGGGCTAAAGTCGCCAGAGGGCTTTCCGGGGTAGTCTTGGGGCCAGCTGCTGGGTGTCGGCGGGAGCTGGGCGGAGACGAAGGATGCGACGAGCGCGAGCAGCGCTGCGAAAGAGGGCCCCAGCATGTTGCGGTCTACGTACGCGGTGATAGGGATTGAGGGCGGGTTTACCTGGGTCAGTGGAGGTCCAAGTGCATTGCTTTTATATGTCCGTCAGCCGCATACGCGGTCCATATAAGGGATGCTGCAAAACGTATATCAGTTTCACTAATCCCTCATGCCAACTTCCGCGCCCGCCGGCATGTACTAAGGTTTGATCGCTGGCTGGCGAGCGTGCCGGGAATCGGGATAGTATGTCCTACTGACGTCCTTCACAATAGCCGTCCTTGACGACGGCTCTGCGAAGCTGGTTACTATGCTACTCCGACTGTGGCTGGACACTTTCTCATCCAATTGTCAGCGCAGACGCGCTGCGTAAAGGGTGTTCCATTTGAGTAATCCTCAGGCGTATCGGTTCGTGGAGGCATATGGTGCTCAATACGCCTCTGGCGGACGACGAGAGGATCATAGATTGACATCGAGAGCATGGTCAGTCGCCGAGTGGCTGGTGGAATATAAGGCGCTTCATACGGCGCTTCGTAAAAGCACACTGCAGTCCAAGCAGCATGTGTTCGTTTACGAGGGTACTCCGGGTGACGGATAAATCCGAGAGCTTCCCTGCTACATGTTATGGGCGCCAAGAGCGAGGGTTAAAGTGCGCAGTATCGAACTCAATCTGAGAGGAGGTTTGTACAGGAATGAACCTTTGCAGGACTCGGACATTGGTGAAGGCCGTACCTTCCGAAGTCTAGGCCCCACAGGGGCTTGCCTCGGCACATTCACACGACTATTGTACGCCGTCCGAGCACTGATTGAACACCATGCTCTTTCACCTGGGATATAGCCGCTTCTGGCCGACAAGAGCAGTCAGCAGCACGCAAAGTTGTGTCATGGTCGTTGCCTAAACTGAAGCACGTACGCTCAGAACCATAGTGCAAGTGCGGATAAGGCCAATAGGAAGCTGGCATGGGCGGCGCATCGTATTGAAGGCAAGTTGGCTTCTCAGAGTCAGGTGTCACATACCTGAACCAGTGGGGGTTTGGATTACATGGCGTGGGGGGTAGGAGGAAACGGACTGCACCTGTCAAGGGATACCATGCCCTGATGCTATCATGGGTATTGAAGTCGGAAGCAGCGATGCTCTATACCCTCTACACATCTCCATACTAGTACACGAATGTCGTTTAGCTGCAAGTCAACAGGACAGCCGTCATTGGGGTATTTGGTGTCAGGAAGGTAAGACAGTGGCCCGCAAGGCAGTCGGACGACTGGTTAGTACTGTTGGTCGCCAGAGCAGAGATAGGCGCCATTGAGAGATTAGATAAGACCTCAGCCAACTGAGCGCAGCGGCCAGACGGTAACCGCAATCCAGCTCATCCTCGTCCTCCATCAGGAATCGACTTCTTGTCTCTCTGGGTCGTCTCAGCCATCAAGCACGATATTAATCAGTCCTTCTGGGAGCTAACCTGCTCATACGACCGTTCTAGATTATGTCATACTCGCCTTACGCCGGCCCTTCGAGCCAGCAAATGTTCTCGCAGTCCGGCTACCCTTCGCAGCCACCTCAGCCCGTTCACTCCCAGAACTTTGCTCAATTCGGCTCACCAGACATCTCACAGCAAGCATCGGTATCCGTGTCAGAGATACTACTCGATCCTCTAGCGCGACTGCAGACGCTTTCGCACACAGTATTCCAATCGCTCGGACCACCGCAGTCAAGACCACCTCCGCCACCTTCGGTCGGCGAGCTGCTTTCTGTGGATGCACAACTTGCAGCTGCCGTACAAGTAGCACGCACGCACCAAGTAAAGCAGCGCCGGATCGAGCAACTGAAGGGCGAAGTTCTCGATCTGGACCGCCGTTGGCGCGAGATAGTACGCGCCCTGGACGAGGGGAGGCGAGAGCTCGACGCGATTGTCAGGGAGGGCGAAGAGCGGATAAAAGCCATAGATGAGGCCAAAGCCGGTAAGTTGTCTGTCTCACCTGTCCATTGTCAGACGCACGAGCTGTCCATGTACAACCTCTGTGCACACGACGCTCGGAGCTCCGGGCTTCTCGGCATATACATTGCACATCGTTCATGATGCCATCCGCCATTGCAGACAGAGAACCTATCTTCATGATCCCATGGTTTGTAAACGAATGTTTGGCGAACTATATGTGCACCCTGAGCCTAACCAGCCGCGTTTGGTGGTAGGCATCATCCGCTCGTCTGACACAGCGTGGATGAGCATCCAGTGGTCACCAGCTCCTGGTGCCGATTGGTACATTTGAAGCGGAGTTGGGGCAACTTCTGCGAGGGTATCAGATTGGTTCCTCGGTGCCTATGTGAACATCTCCGTGATGAGTCGGGAAGATATGGATTGGTGAACGACACTTCAATGGTTATTCTTGCCTCTATTATCCGAATATCTCAGTACATAGGCACCGTACGTGTGCCAATTTGGAGCTCGCGGATCCGCTGCTCATATCCGGGCAGCTTGCGCTCCGAACTGCGTAGGCTCATACTGTAGCTTCGATCTCATACGTGCAGAGTCCAGAACCTTACAGCCGCCTCAATTCCGTGCAATGCATGTCAGGTAGTTGAAATACTTCCTGGCATGCAGTGGTCGTGATCCAGGCCTGGCTAGTCCTCCGACGTGCACGATAGAGAAGGGAGAAAACGAGTGCCCATCGCTAAATGTCTTGTTCGTGTTCTAATCTTGGACTCATAAACTTGGTGTAACGTGGGGAAGACCAAGTAATAGTAATACACAGCAACGATGACTTGCTTGTCCGTATTCCCGAGGTCACTCTGATCCACGCTAGCTGCCTCTAGTTTACCACGCGTGAGCAGCTGCAAGGCGTGGCATCGTGCATGGTTGACTGTTGACAGCATCAGATACGACTCTCACAATTGAGCAGAAAAGCCGGAACCGCCTTCCCCATCTCATGGACCCGCAGCACCCTTGGTGATTATCGCTCCATGGGGCTCTGGAATGACCGGTCGACTGTGAGCATGACCAGACCGGCGTCCAGCATCGCATGCTACTCGACATACGAGTGGCTGAAAGTTAAGGCGAACGCCTGTTCAACGCCCTTCTCTTTCACACCCGGTCTTGAATGGGGCTCTTCCCATTGTTGACATGCTCCCGCCGGCTCTAGATCTGTGGCCCCATACCACCGTAAAGGGATCCCGTAGGCCCTCGTACGCGTGCGTTCTCTTTTCTCCAGTGTCCCACGGCCCTTGAGGAGCCTCGCCAATTGTCCACGGAAAAACCGGGAGAAGTAGGAGAAGCATCCTACGCCATACTGCATGTCGTCTTCTGTGGGCACGCTCGAGATCCAAATCGCTCCTGCTGGCTTCCTATCTCTCGCCTTTCATTGCACTCCGTGTTCCTGATTAGTCCACGAACTTGCGCTTACCTACCAATTCTTTGTCATCGTGTTTACAGCTGCGATCCCGTACCCCGAGCTGCTGGCGTACGCCCAGAGCCTCTCCGCATTCACTTCCGCGCCGCCTAACATGCCCGACCTCGCGCCCGGCCAACCCCCTCCACCACTCTTCTTCCCGCCCTTTCCCAATGAGGAGAAGATGCGCCGTGGGCACATGAACGACGAGGCGCCGCTCGGTATTCTGGGCGAAACGCACTCGGTCAAGCGTGAGTCGCACCTGCCTTGCCTCCATTTAATGCATTTCGTTCCCTTTTGGCTAGCTCTTCCCATGTGCCACTCTTCGCCCTTCAATTGCGCGTCATAAGCACGACCAGCGGAGCTAATGCGCTACCTACATTGCAGCACCACCCGTGTCACCCACAGTCGAACTGCCGGCCCTCCCTGGCGCGAACCCCTATCGACCAGACTTCCGACCGCCCCAGCAACAGCCGTTCCCCGACTTCGACTTGGATCTCAACCCGGATCTGTAGTTCCAATTGTCCCAGTACTCGTACTCGTAGCATGGCATCTTGCTTCTTCGCGTTCTTGCCGATGATCAAACTGTCTATAGTGCCACCGCGCCCCTCGTGAATGGCGAATGCATGACGCCTAATGATGTCTAGTCGGCCGGAGCGTATGTGGCGCTGGAGACTGTATTGGATGACTGTGTTCTACAGTTGTACTAGATAGTGCATGGGAAACTGGACGGAAAATGGGATGGGCAGTACGGACACAGAGCAGATAACGACAGCGATACAAATGGTATACACATGGTACTCAGATGAATAGTCATGGGTCATAATAAAATGCAAGCAAGCACGGAGGCAGCCTCCGAGGCAACCTGTCATGAATTGTACACAGGGAATGGGATGAGCGGTGGGCTCCGCGCCGGGTCTTCCTCGTTCATGAACCGCCTGCCCACAACCGCCGTCAGCGGAAGCCAGGAATGGAAGGAGAAAGGCACGTACCGGAATATTTGCATGTTCACATCCGACTTGAACACAACAAACAGGTGTGTGTTATCATGCGTGTCGACCTCGGCGCAGCTGTCGCACAGGTCCTTCGGGCAATACGCGCAATGAAACCACTCGCCAGAGATGTGCGACATGCACCGGTCGCACACCGCGAACGCATGTGTGAGGCTCCGGAGATATTCTACCGAGCGCGAAGGACGAGGGCGCAAGACAATAGTGAGCATACGACAGGAACGGCGCATGAACTGATGTGCGACTTGCCTTTCGGGTCGGTGACGTTAAATGTGCCGTTCGGCGGCCCGGCGGGCTTCTTGTAGCTGTCAGGGCAAGGTAATACAATTGTGAGCTAATTCTGGACAGCCGGCAAACTGAATATGCATGCGGACGACATACAGTCTGGGTAGTGGCGGCTGGAGGACAAGCGGCCGGTGGACGGGTCTTGGAAGCTTGAAGAAGAAGTGCGTCGGATCGTGCAGGGCGTACGAGCGCGCTTCGCATCGTTCGCACTTCCGGACAGGAACACGAAGAGCAGCCAGCCGCCCAAGCAGTCGGTTAACTTCCGGCCTCGCGGTATGCATACGAATTGTGATAAAACAGCACGTACCAAGCTGACAGACTTGGGATAGGACGAGCAATTGGCACATTGGTACCGCACGCCAATGATTGGCTGGGCACACCCATCACACACGAGCCCGTGGTCGTTCTCGACAGAATCGACCTTGACCCGGGGGCCCGTCCCGAGCACCGTATGGGAGTACGCCGACTCCCCAATCGAATTGCGGCGCCCGCGGCCGTTTGCGCTACCGGCCTGCGCGACCGCCGCGTCGCGCCCGGTCCATAGTCGGATCGCCATCTGGCTCGTGTTCTGTAAGTCTGCGGTGGACATGGGATGTGGGATCTAAGGCCGAAGAGATTGACATGGAGTCAGTTCTTGTATCACGAATCACGCCCCCTGGTCCAGCATCGAGGGCCAATACACAGACCTTGATCATGATATGCGAGGAAATGTGGCCACCGTCGTCCGAGTCTATGTTACCAGGCAGACCAGCAGCATCGCAGTTCGAGCAGATGTCGACATCCTCGCAGATCGCACAATGGAATCGCGCGCCAACAATTTCTTGCATGCAACTGTGGGTGGGGATGAGCGCACGCTCCGCAGGCACTTTCGCGTGAACTCAGCACTTACTGCGCGCAATGGACGCCCACGTGTGTCATGGCTGAAGGACACGAGACACGGTCATCAATTGGGAGCCTGCCGTAGAACGAACGAGAGAACTTACATGTCTCCTCCATAGACGCAGTCGACTGCCTTGTGAGGTCCGCGATAGTGGGCCCAGAGCCAGACGACTGGGAGCCACTCGACTTGTCCGGGACAACCAAGAACGCGTGCGCGGGATGGACCTCGTACACCTGCCTATATCGCACAGCGCAAACAACCATACCACTATATAAGCACGCGAGCACGGGCTGCGTAGCGCCAATCCAGAACACACGTACCTGTAGCACGCCCGGCACAAATTGAAATCATCGCAGGACGCGCACTTGTACCGGTGGCTCGTGATGACGGTGTTGCACGTCGAGCAATGACACGGGCCCTCCCCGCCCTGTTCTACATCCCACGAAAGAACGCTTCAGCACCCCATCCGCGCTCGAGCTTCGACCACACCCCCGTAGGGATGCCCAGCGCACGAAAGCCACCATGACCCCAACACTCACCGACGTCTTCCCACCCGCTGTGCGTCCAGCTCTTCTCGATGTACGCATGCCGCAGCAGGCCCTTCTGCGACGGCGCCGTCCGCCGCCACCGCGACAACGCCCGCTCCGCGTCCTCGGGCGACGTCCCCGGCCCCGGCGACGCCCCCGGCGTCGCGCTGAACTCGAGCGAATGTTGCACCCCGTAGCTCTGCACGCACATTGAGCATAGCTCGTACCCCTCCCTCCTCCCCATCCCGTTCTCATATGACGCCAGCCCCAGTGAGGAAAGGGGCGAGTTCGGTGGCGCATGCGGGCTGGCGGGCGACCGCGGCAGCGAAGGGAGCGGCTTCAGGCTGGGCGCATTGACGTTCAGGTAGAGTGTGCTCTCCGAAAGCGACCGCGCGGGGTGATGGTCCGAGGAGCCTGAGCTCCCGGAGCCTGAATGCCCGGAGTGCCCAGAATGCTGGCTCCCGACAATCGTCAGCGACGACGCGGACGCCGAGGGCGAGTTGCGCAGCAGCGGGTACGAGTTTCCCCGATGGTTGTGGATGTCGATCGCCCGCGTCTTGCCTTTGTGATCCCCCGCCCACTCCGTCGTGGCGGACGTCGGCTCAGAGATCGTAGCCTTGACCTCGCCGCACGTCGAGCACACGTACTTGATGATGTCCAGGATCACGCCGCAGTTCGAGCAGTTCGTAGGGTCTGCGGGCGGCGCGAGAGGTTGTGCGGGCCGGATGAACGACAGCACCTCGGGCGGGATGTCCGGGTGGATGTAGTCAGTAGGATACGACATCTCCTCAGGCGACATGAACGGGTTTTGCATCGAGCCCGACGACATCGTGGACGAACGATGCGGATGCGTATGCTGCAGCTGCTGGTGTAGCTGCGGGAGCTGCTGGAAGGGCGCCTGCAGTGATGTCGGCCGGCTCGCGAAGAACTTCTCTGCCGAGTCCGCGATACTGGGTTCGACAGCCGCTTCGTTCGCCCCAGCGCTTGTCCCGTCGTCGACGCTCCCATAGTCGCGCACACTCTGCGATGCGACCGACCCGCTGCTCCCCGTGAGCGTGTACCGGTAGTTCCCGTGTTGATTGCGCTCGAGTTCGAGCGACATGCTGTCCTCGAGCGAGACGTCGCTGATCGACAGCTTGTCCCCGTCGAGGATCGGCAGGTGCGCGTTCTGGTCCCGCAGCCAGTTCACCCCACGCTCCGTCTGGAACGTCGTCGCCCCGTTCAGATTTCCCGGGAAGAACCCGAGCCGCTCCTCCTCTAGCTTTAGCCGTGCGAACACGGACTCTGGGTCGTCGGAGTACCGTGCGAGCGTGTCGTCCGACGAGAGCGGGTCCGTGCTCCGCTTCGAGCTGAGGGTGCGCGGATGGCTGGAGATCGTACCTGCCTCCCACTTGTCGCTCGGGTCTATGAGGGCCTCGCGGCTGGGGCCTGCGACGATGGTCTTCGCTCCCTTGCCGAGGTGCGCGGGGAAGTCGTACTTTGAGCCGACGTCCTTGGAACTGACCGTGATCGCATCGTCTTCGAGCTCCCGAGGTCCATCGGAGGTGTATGATAGAGAGTGCTCGCTGCCGTTCCTGTTCTTGTACTCCTCGAGACTGACGAGCGAGCCCGTGTCGGAGAGCGAGATTCCCTCGTAGTCGACGATGATGCTCACGGGGAGAGTGATCTTGGAGTTCCGGAAGCTTCTGCCAGAGAGAATCGAGGCAGTAGAGGAGAGCGGGGGATCTTCGTTGGGAGTGGGCTTGAAGTAATTGATGGCCTCGGTGAGGTCGGTCTCGTTCGTAATGGAGATGGTCTCGGAGTCGTCGTCGACGTACGCGATGTAGAAGGGAGTGGCCTGCAGACCAAAAGACTTCTCGACCTGTGCACAGTTAGCTATGCCGGTAAACATACGGAGGTAGCGCACCTGCTTGCGGAGGTGGTCGTAGGAGCATAGGTGGGAGGAGGCATAAGTGATCTTCTTGCTCCCCCGCTCCTCATGGGTGAACTTGACGACTAGGGGTTTTTCAGGACGAGGTTCCGTTCTTCCGTAGTTGGATGTGCCATAGTCAGAGCCTGCGACAGACATTCAGATGCGCCTGGTGGACGTAGAAGGGAGCCCTGCGCAGCTGCAGGGCCCTCTCCGCAGTTCTCGAATTGGGATCTCTTGATTATGTCATCTTCGGGAATGGGCGTCTCTCGACAGTAGAACACACTGGCACGTGCATATTAATGCTTTGTTCCAAGACTCCTCGACCTTTTCTGCACGTAGTCCAAGGTAATCAGATAATGGTGGCGTTATTTCAGCATGACACAGTCTGAGGTCAAGACCTGGGAGAGGTGTCAGTCCTAGCGCGGCCTTGTCATAATCGAGACGGAAAGAGCAGAACGTTCAAGATTTCGAGGCATATGCTCTATGCTGGCATGCCAGTGGCTCGCAAGAGAAACGGATGCAGGGGCCCACCACCAGCCACACCATCATCCCCTGTAAAGACGAGGAGGACCTTGCAAACTGAACCGGACTCCAAGAATTGCGCAGCCCTAATCACTTGTACTCGCGTCGCGGCACGCAGGAAGAACAGTCCCGAACTGAGTATGATCCTGGCCCTACGAGTTCTCAAACACCAGGAACTCGGTCGGATCAACGAGCAAGACCACCACTCGGTGGGGGTTTCTACGGCGACGTTCAGTCTCATCCAGATCGCGCTGACCGTTATTCCAGATGTCTATTAGGTCCGCCTTTGAGCATTGGGACACGCTGCTGGTCTTGTGCTTTTCTGCTAGCGCTGCGTACGTATAGCTGCTCCGGCCGTCTGCGCTGTCTCACCCACGTCGTGTCAAGGCTGGCTGTATCCCGACGTCTCGGGAAACATTGTGGCCAGACATGATCAATCGTCTCCCGTAGGCCTGCACACGGAGAGGTATCCCACTCGATGAGTCATTGCATATTCGGCTGGGGCGTTCTCAGCTGTGCTTTGCAATCGTCCGGCCTCTGTCTTCAAGTCTACGTTCGAATCAGCTGGTAGTGGGCAGTACTTGTTGGTGTGCGAGTGCTGACTAAGGCTTGTCGTCGCAATAGCAGTCGGAGAAGTGTCAGGTTATCACCATGCTGGGCGCATGAAATGCTACACAGGAAGTTATGGCTGCTTCGTACTAGTGTTAGCAGTCGGTACGTGGC